TCCTTTTCCTTATTTTTTCCGTTATTTGATCTTGATCGAACCAGCCTTTTAGACTCCCATATGTTTTGCTCCTTCCCCGTCACTAGCGAGTGAACTATTTGATTCTTACGGCAGAACACCGAGGTCATTCCCTTGTTTGTTTAATTGATTTTATAGTCCCCCATTTCTTTCATATAATTGTATATATTTCATCACTCATTCAAAAAATTGTATATGATTTAATAATAAAAAAATAAGTGTACATAAATATATCATGTGTGTATTATTAAGTCCACTGTGAAAACGAGGCATTTTAGTGCATGTTTGAACCGAATGACGAAGGAGGAGTTCTTAAGATACATGTGTATATTGTTAAACTGGATGGGTCGTGAATCGAACTAGCTCGGAGTAGGATAGTTACTGATGACCAGTCTCTCCCTTCGGCCTTGTGCCACAAATAATGTATATTATTTATATAATAAATGCAAATGTTAGTGTGTCACACTTTTCCAATTAAAGTGTAACAACGCTAATTTTCAATATTAAAGAAACTTTCAACATTAAAGAAACTTTGGATTCACAAGTTTTCATAACTGCGATTGTTTTCAGCGATATTGTTAAGTGATTTTTTGCGACGAATTTTTTTTTATACGATGTATATTTTTATTCTTGGAAATGAATTTGGCAATAATCAAAATTAATTAGGAAATCCAGCAAAAGTCACCTATGAAAAAAAAAAATTGTTGTACGGAAAGTAAGAACCTACGTACAACAAATTGTCTTTAAACTAAGTGGCGGCAGAAGAATTATCGCTGAACTTTTAAAAGGTAAGCTTAAATATTCGTACAATACTTAAATGCAGCAATCAATTTTTAGTTCTTCTGTAGTTTATTGTTGCTTATCGCAGGGGTCGGCAACCTTTTGCTAACTATATGCCAACTTAGGGTTTTAAAATCATTCAGTTTGCCAACAGCACACGTATTTTTTTATACAAGCCAAGGTCAATATACCTGTTCTACAATATATTTTATATAGTAATATATACTTTAGTATATATTAAAATTGAAACAGCTAAATATCTTCCTTACGTTGTAGTAGCTATTGGTTCGGACTTCGTGATGTGAGGCTGCGTGCCATTTGAAATTGCTTCGCGTGCCACACGTTGCCGACTCCCGGCCTAACGCATACGGCAGCAGCACGATACATAAAGAAATCTTCACCAACAGAGGACCAGATTGCAATCAAAAGAGTCAAGGGTGCAGCAAGGAAAAGAAAGTCCCGTGCAAAGGAAAACGCATATCAAACGGCAGCCAGGAATGCTTCCAATGCTGAGAATATGTAAAGACTTTCAACTCTCAAACAAGTCGAAGGCCCAATCAATAGCCTTCCGCAAATGCCGCCCGATAGCTTAAATGCTAACCAGTCTAGGAGAATGAAAACTGAATTCAAAACCAACCTTAAGAAAGCTGCGTCAGGTTATCTTGCTCTAGACCAGGGTTTCCCAATCTAGGCGATATAACCCACCGGTGGGGGATGTCAACGGTTGGGTGGGCAATGAGCAACTTAACAGAAAATGGTGGCCGATATAGAATTTTGTGTATTAAGCAGTTATTTCAACATATGCTAACCGACAAAAATATTTGAAGGAGATATGCAAAGAACCTTCATTTTTTTTAAAAACAAAACAAAAATAAACAAAACAAAAAAAAACAGGAGGCTAAATGGGAATAACTGGGTCAGTCCTAGAAAAGATATCAATATCCACGCAAACAACGAATATTTTGGTATTCTCTATAGTTTTGAGAAGGGTCATTAACATTCAAATAGTTCTTAAGACAAACTAACATACTTTCGGATATAAATCAAATATGGGAGACCAGGAACAACAAAATATTCGACGAATTTTTATTAGTTGATAGTAGTGTATATTCTTTTTAATTTCATAATTGTGAACAAAAATAGCTTAATTTTTTACTTGTAACTTAATTTTTAACACTATATATATATATAATATATAATATATATATATATATATATATATATATATATATATATATATATATATATATATATGAGAGAGAGAGAGAAAAACAGATTTCAAATTTACTTTCGATTGTTCTTTAATACAGTAGGAGCAGCCGCTCACACATAAGTCAGTTTCATTTTTTTTTTTTTACCTCCCTTTGGTATTTTTTTACTTCATCATTGTCAGTTTATGAACCATTAACAAACTTTTACCAAATATTTTTTGTATGCTTTTGAATATTTACTATAGATATGCGCGGTGGAAAATTTTTCCATGGGAAAGTGGGCGATGGCGCAAATATGGTTGGGAATGCTCGCTCTAGACCCCCCCGCTATTGCTATGACTGCAGTAAATTTGGTGCTTCTACAACTGTAATGGGTTACCGGGCAACACATTTTTCTCGCTCTAAATGATTAATTCCAGATAATCAGCTCAAGGACATTAATTCTATGCACATTATTTAGCTCAATACTTTTTTTTTTTATTGAGGTTCACTCTACACAAAGCCTGTGAGCCACTCGAGGTAGAGGGTTACAGAGTAAGAGGTACAGTTTATACGGTTAGGTGGAGAAGGTAATGGCTAATCCTAGACTTGAACAGGTTAAGATTGTAATGATTGGGAAAACATCCTCTTGGCAGTCGGTTCCACAGAACATTGGTTCGTGGAAAAAAGCTGCTCGAGTGGAACTTATTCATCTTCAATGGAAATTAGGGAGGGAATTAGGATTTGCTACAATGTGCGTAGAATGGCGGGTCCTAGACGTGAAAGTTAGAACTGGTGGAACAAAGGAATGTAGTTCGTCTGGACACTTTCCATGGAAGTAGCTATAGAGCAGTGAGAAGCTTGCGACATCTTTGTCTGTGGGAGTGAGAGATTGCAGGGTGGAAAATAATTTGTCACCCACAAGGTTGCGGAGACTCATTTGGGCTCTATCGAGACAGTAAAGTGGGAACTCGGCAGCTCCTGTCCAAATCTGACAGCAGTACTAAAATTTAATAAAATAAATTTATTTTTAAATTACACCAAATTAAAATACATCAAAACTTTCATTCCTTCTAGTGATTACATGCATAGTGACAAAGCAAATGCTGATGACAGGGGAAAATTTGAAACAACAAATAAATTTGTCTTATAGCGAACGGAAACGTGTTTCTACAGAAAGATGTTGAGGATACCATACACCGAATATATGAGCATCGACTTAGTTTTAGAAAAAAAAAAAAAAGTAAACGAAAGGGACATTTATACTTGACACCAAAAAGAGACAGTTGACATTTCTAGGGTTCATAATGAAAATAGAGGGCTTGGAAAATTTGATACTCACAGGACAGATTGAAGTCAAGAGGGACAGAAGAAAACAACGCATAACATACCTAGCGAGCTTAAATAAAAGAGTTTAGGAGAAATTACAAAAAGAAAAAAAATGTTAAGTACTACAAAGGACAGGACATTGTAGAGAGTCGTGACCATCAACTTCTCGAAAAGATACGGATGAACCTCATGAATTTTTAAAATAAATAACTTTCTTTACGAGCGTGACGCACACTTTAGATAGAAAAGTAGTTAGATACTATATTTATATATTGGAGCTCAACCCACTTCACAAAATCTGACCAAGATTTTTGGTAGAAAGGGTTTGTTAGTAGGGCCGATAACTTTTCAGCACCTCTTGTATATCTACACAAGATGTAAATCTAATTTTGATGTAAAAATATATTTAAGCATTTGGCGACAATAAATATACAGTTTTTAATAAACGCAGCGCCTACTCAAATATAGGTATCCATTAAAAATAACGTTTAAAGTAATTATTAAAGATTAATAAATAAAAAAATCCACTTCTTTAGAAATTGCTTTGTTTACGTTTCGGATACGAACCCCAATAAATGTGAAGTTTCTAGAACGTGAAACGAGAAGGATTGTGCTTAAAGTCAGTATTCGGCATTGCTTGGTCGGCGACGCCCTTCGTAGCCTAGTCTGTTAATATACAGGGTGCGATGGGTAATTTTTTGCCATTTTATATTTTTAATATCGCGCATGGTTTTGATTTTGTCGACTGAATAGTATAGTAAGATCAGTTGAGCACCGTCTGCGAGAAAAAAAATCACCAAGATGCAATTCACTCTGGAAGAAGTTTGGAAATGACATGCTGTACTGCTTGGCATTCGCACTGGAAGCTCCAATACGAATATTTCAGAGGGTTTGGGTGTCAGTCTGAAGACAGTGCAAAGAATTCGGTAAGAGTTGGTAGGGTCTAATGGTGATTATGAAAGTAGGGCAGCTCAGAAAACTCACGCTGATCGTTCTGATAATTTTTGAATTTGTTGGTGAGGGCCTCAGACTCAACACGGCGGCCTACATAAAGTGCCTTGAGATAGTAGTGCTGCCCTGGGTCAAGAGTGTGGCTGCTAGAAGACCCTATGTCTGGCAACAGGACTCTGCACCATATCACCCAAGCAAGAGAACCTAGTCATGGCTGTCAGACAATTTCTGCAACTACATCCCTCAATACATCTGTCCACCTATCTCCATGGTTGAAAGAAATGGCGATTTTTTATTGAATAAATTTACTCTTTCGTATTTCAAGATATTTTGTGTAAATTCGGTAAATATATCTGTTAAAATGAGATGGCAGCGTTATTTTCACTTTTGCTTAACTTAGACAATTTATTCAGCGAACCATTATATATATATATATATATATATATATATATATATATATATATATATATATATATGTGTGTGTGTCTGGAATGACTAAGTCCGACAATTATTTTATGTACTTTCTGTTTATATGTTATTTTAAAAGATAAAATTTATCTAAGTAAATGCTCTGTTTTTTAATTAATATTAATTACATTTACCGGCCTGAATGTTCGAGAAATTTCGTAGAAAATATGCGTTTTCACAAAATTTCTCGAACATTCAGGTCGGTAAATGTAATTAATATTGTTTGATTAAAAACAGAGCATTTACTTAAATAGATTTTATCTATTAAAATAACGTATAAACAGAAAACATTAAAATGAGGAGAGAGAGAATGAGTGAGTAAGAGAGAGAGAGAATGAGAGGAGTAAGAGAGAGAGAGAGAATGAGAGTGAGAATGGGAGAAAGAGAGAATGAGAGAGGAAGAGAGAGAGAGAATAAGAGAGAGAGAGAGAATGAGAGTGAGTAAGAGAGAGAGAGAGAATGAGAGTGAGTAAGAGAGAGAGAGAGAATGAGAGTGAGTAAGAGAGAGAGAGAGAATGAGAGTGAGTAAGAGAGAGAGAGAGAATGAGAGAGAGAGAGAGAGAGAATGAGAGTGAGAATGGGAGAGAGAGAGAATGAGAGTGAGAGAGAGAGAGAGAGAAGAGAGAGAGAGAGAAGAGAAGAGTGAGTAAGAGAGAGAGAGAGAATGAGAGTGAGTAAGAGAGAGAGAGAGAAGAGAGAAGAGAGAGAGAGGAGAAGAGAGAGAGAGAGAATGAGAGGAGTAAAGAGAGAGAGAGAGAATGAGAGTGAGTAAGAGAGAGAGAGAGAGAATGAGAGTAAGAGAGAGAGAGAGAATGAGAGTAAGAGAGAGAGAGAATGAGAGGAGTAAGAGAGAGAGAGAGAATGAGAGGAGAAGAGAGAGAGAGAAGAGAGAAAGAGAGAGAGAGAATGAGAGAGTAAGAGAGAGAGAATGAGAGTGAGTAAGAGAGAGAGAGAGAATGAGAGTGAGTAAGAGAGAGAGAGAGAGAGAATGAGAGAGAGAGAATGAGAGGAGTAAGAGAGAGAGAGAGAATGAGAGAGGAGAGAGAGAGAGAGAGAGAAGAGAGAGAGAGAATGAGAGTGAGAGAGAGAGAGAGAATGAGAGGAGTAAGAGAGAGAGAGAGAGAGAATGAGAGAGAGAGAGATGAGAGAGAGAGAGAGAGAGAGAGAGAATGAGAGAGAATGAGAGAGAGAGAGAATGAGAGAGAGAGAGAATGAGAGAGAGAGAGAGAAGAGAGAGAGAGAGAGAGAATGAGAGAGAGAAGAGGGGAGAGAATGAGTGAGAGGAGAGAGGTGAGGTATGAAAGAGTGAGGGAGGGGAGGGAGAGAGAGTGAGGGGGTGGAGAGAGTGAGGGAGTGAGGGGGAGAGAGAGTGAGAGAGTGAGGGGAGGAGGTGAGGAGAGGTGAGGGAGTGGGGGTGAGGGGGAGGGAGAGAGGGAGGGGAGGGAGTGAGGGAGTGAGGGAGTGAGATAATATATTTATACGTTCAAACCACCAATCAAAATACATAAAGTTAATTTAAAGACTTCTGAAAAGAAATCTTTCCGCGGTTTCTGGCAGCAAATTCTTTTTGGTCCCAGATGGCTTCAAAAGAATTTCCTGTCAAAATGCACACTTGTAACATCCATTTGCCAGTATGACCAACGCCATTGCAGAATTTAAAAGGATACATTACTTGCCGAGGCATATTATCCTCAAACATTTTCATGCGAGACTAGCAAACCTTAAAACCCTTTTAAGACAAACATTGTATTTAGGAGACAGCATACTATTCTCTTCGGAGGTGAGAAAATGCGCCTTCATTCTTATTGCACAGTTGAATTACAAGCCATTATAAGGTGTCGACAGCAAAAGGAGTCCAACTCAGTTAACCAGTCTTTTGTGTTCATTCATTAAATGTAAAGGAAGGATCTCAAATAAAGAATTGATCTGTACGAGAATGAAAGAAAATAAGTTCTCTTTATTTTAGTTAGGCATGTGCAACCTTTTTCGAGCAGTGGACCGAATGATCTATGGTTCACCATAAGGCGGGTTACAGAGATAAAGAGATTTAAGGTAATTTTTACGCAATAAGTAACTCCGCTACTTTCGCTGTAGAAGACTTTATGCGTAAGCATATACCGTAGAAATGGTAGGAAATTTTTTATTTTATTTTTTTTTTAGAAAGGATTTTTTATAATTAAAAACATTGAAGTCTTGGCATAATATCATTGATGACAGTGTGATTATCACATGTCGCTGCGTGGAATTTCTTTCGAATTTATTAATTTGAAAATGAGAACATTTCTCCTTTTAGAGAAGAATTTCTAATGAGCGTTTCCCGTTTCAAAAGCCAAAAGATATTTACACGTATGATCTGCCTTAGTGAAAATTGCTAATGGTTTGTAATGCTGACAACGTTACTTTATCCGAAATTTTACAAAATTCAAGAAACATTTGTATTTAACCATTGTTTATGCATATGGTTATATATAAGAGAGTGTGTGAGTGAACAAGTGAGAACAAATCAAAATTTTAAGAAATGTTATTTTCTTTATGAAATTAAGTGTGCCATTCAGAAAGACCAAATGAAACCCATGTGGGGTTACATTCAAGTAGTTTTTTTTAATTCCATGTTTTGTTAGATAAGCAGGTAGATAGATAGAATAACCAATAAGTATGGCAAGACAACTACAGAAAGAGAGATATAGAGAGAAAGAAAATGTGTGAGAGAGAGAGAGAGGAAAAAAAAAAGAAAAGAAAACTGTAGAGAATTAGATAAACGAGAAAGAGAGGAAGCGAGAGAAAACGATTTGAAATATGAACGTTTGAAGATGTATACTCTTATACACATTTAATATAGACTTAAAAAAGATAAACGAAGTGTCACCAAACGTTCAGTAAAATTAAGCCGTAAAAAGGCTTAAAGAAAGAATCAAAAATTGATAGAAAATGTCTTCTTGGTTGAGTGATTTCGAGAAATATGGGAAATGTCTAGCAATTTCGCTATTATATGATCAGCCACTATATTTAGGTAGGTTTTTTTTTAAGTCAATGTTCATTGTGGATTTAGGGGAACATAGGTTTCCACAGCTTCCTTTTTCTTTATTATCTGGAAATTGCCATAAAGTCTTTGGAAAAGTAGGGGAATGTTTTCTCGTTGCCTTTTTACAAAGACTTAAAATGAACATTTGGAGAGGTTTCAATTATCTCTAGTAGGCAACTGGAATAACATTTAGGTTAGAGTTCGTTGCAAATATATTAAGAAAATATAGAAAGAAAAGTATAGATATTTACTGAGCTTTACTTAATCTGGTACAAACCCACATATGCGGAGCTTTAAATAAAAAAAAAAATCGATGAAAATCATTCGTAACTGTCTGAAAGCTGACCGTCTTTGCTATTTCTCTTTTTAGATTATTTCATTCCCGTGTTATACTTATCTGTTTTCATTTCCCGTGTCTCGCCGTTTTATTTCTGAACTATATCAGTGATTCTTAACTGCTGTGTGGCAGCACACTATTATGCCACGAAATATTATCTCGGTATATATATGTGTGTGTGCGTGTGTTTAAGTAGTAATGGTACAGCGTTAGTATTTGAATAAATGTATAATTGATTAGAAACTTTGAAATAAAGTAATTTCATATTTGTATGTGTATTTCTTTTTTTCATAACATTTAAATGTATATACTTTAAAAATTTGCTAAGTGTGTCGTAATATTTTCATTTCCTCCTATGCGAGTCCGTTGCTTAAAAAGGTTGAGAAACACTGAACTAGATGTAACCATAAGTTCCACTGTAACAGAGGTTTTTCTCTCTCGGTTTTTTCCTTCCCTGCCACCTACAATCTTCAAAAAATTAAATGCAACGCCAATCACCATCTTCTGCCTTCCTGAATCCAGTTTTTTTTTTTATCTTCATTTCTCCTTACTAAAATTTTCCAATTGTCTTTCACTCCTAGTGACTCCTTGCGTCTTAGTAGCATTATCGCCTTGCTTGTGGTGAATTGATTATATGTACGAAAACTTTGTTGGCTGTCAAAAAACAAAAACATCCCAGTCTACTTAGCGTCTAAGTGTATTGTCTGTACAACATGTTTTTTTTTTAATTTCTCATGTTACTTTTTTCCAGTTTATCAATATTTAATTCTCGAAAATTGCCTTGAAGATAACATTTATAAGAAGCCTCATTTGTTTTTGAATTAACAGTATTGATATTCGAAAATTCATTGATAATGCTATATGGGATTGTATGAAAATTCCACATATGGAATTTTCATACAATCCAAAACGGCGTTATCAATATGTGCGTGTATGAATGAATTGGACATACCACTAAATGGCTATCAAGAAGATTCACGTTACATCTGACCATAGCTCAATTCGGGCTCATTTAAATACACACAGAAATCTACCAAACTCCATCCACAACATACTCGTAGAAAATACAAGTATAATAGCCTCATCCACAAAAAAAAAAAAAAAAAAAAAAAAAAGGCTAAAAATAATGGAATCACTATTAATAAAAAAAAAAGAAAAAGTTAACAATAACATTAACTATAAACACGGTAACAATGTACTGACCGTGTGTGGAAAATGAAAGTAAATTCCCATCCTATAGATATACATATATAAATAAATCTATATATTCAGTTTAAAAAAAAATCTCCTTGATAAAAATCAATAGAATAGCCGAAAGCGCTCGGATATATAGAACATTTGGACAGTTTTTATACGATATATCCTGAAAAGTAAAAAAAAAAAAAACTTATACAAACAAGAAAAATTCTAATCGCAGAATTCTTTAACGAAACTTGTATAAAAGAGGGATATATATATATATATATATATATATATATATATATATATATATATGTGTGTGTGTGTGTGTGTGTATGTTAAAACTGGATTGAACAAAGACTAATCATGAATTAAAAATAATAGAAACGTCGTCGGTTATTTTTATTTGTTCAGACTATAAACTCATTCTTTATATTCATATTTCAACCACCTACTTTCTCACTATTATCTGATAAAGCAAGACGTAAGCTGGCCAAGGAGGATATGTATAAAAAGCTATGGCACGTTCTGATTTTGTGTAATCTAATCTGAAAGTAGTCAGAAGGTAGTGTCTATTTTCCCCGGATAAATTTGCAACACACGCCCTCTTGATACGGTATACAGTAAGTCTGCCTGAAAGAGTGCAGAGAAAAAGGCTCGTTATCTAACGTTTACATTCGTGCTGTTTGTTCAAATTATTTTCTTTATTATCTGTGAATTGCTATGACTGTTCTTGAGAAAGATAGGAGAGTGGTTTCCCCCATTGCTTCTCTCCAGTTTTGAGTTCAGAGTCCTCCTTCTAGATGGGTTTCTACTAAAGGCTAGAGAGAACAACCTATCCTGCTATTTAACGCATAGCTGGGTGGAGGAAAATATGGATTCTCTTCTTTCCCAAAGGTATTAGTGCGAAGTTAACGCAAGAAACCAGATCGGAATTTAAATTGTTTGCCGGTTTCACAAACGTTACGCTGTTTTAACATAGGTTAAAAGACTATAAATTAAATACCTTAGTTGAATTATTATGAGATGAAAGCGCGCGTATAGCACAAGAAACAGCAAACAAGTCATTGAAAATGTTTGTATTTGGCACCTTTTCTTCAGAGAGGAGTGAATATAACTACACTTGTCCTTTCAGTAACACCTACATTATTTCCTGACAAAACGTCAGTTGTATTCTTCATTCGTTTACAATACAGATTGGAGCACCTCGACCTGGTGTAATAGTCAGCAAGCTTGTCTCGCTAGATCAATTACGAGTGAATAGCAAGTTCGATCTTCACTGGATGCTTCGCACTTTCGGGCCATGTGCCACATCTAAGCTACGCTTAGAAAAATCATTTAGGGCACATTTGACGTGGTGTAATATTTAACGGTCTTATCTCGCTAGATCAATTACGACTAACTAGTTAATCCGATCCTCACCGGGTGCTCCATACTAAAAGGCCTTGTGTCACATCTAAGCTACGCTTAGAAAACCACAACACAGATTGTCGAACAGAATTACTATTTATTCTATTTTGTGTGCGGAAAAATGCAGGCTGAATGGTGTGTATTGGTAAAGTCAGTGAATAGCAATAAAACTAGTCGAGATCATGCCTGCGCATACCGGGCTTAAATTAATTTTCTTTTGAAAGGATCGTCCCTTCATATAGTCGATCATGGCTATCCACAGCTTCCTTTTCTTTTATTATCTGTGAATTGCTGTGGCTGTTATTGAGAAAGATAAGATTGGACTCCTGTTGTCTTATCTCCGATTGTGAATGCAGATTTGTCCTACACTGGCTGACAGCCAAGGATAGAGAGTTCAGTCGACTCTACTATTTAAACCATAACTAGATATAAGCAGTTGGCACGTAACAAAAAAAATTAATATTTCATTTTATCCTCTTTAACCAGATATTTACAGTGTCACAGTGCTTTAGAGAGACTTGACTTGTGGTGCCGTTGGGAAGTGTTTGAAAAATCATA